TGCATTAATGTACATGTGTGCATGTATATGATGTATATATTTACAATATATTATAGAGCATGAAAGTGCTAAGGATGACAAGCACAGAGCACCATGAGAGCACTAAACTAGGGGACTCCTCATTTAGATGGGGGCTCAAGGAAAGGAGTCTTCCCTGAGAATGAGGTATTTCAGCTGAAAGTTGAAGAGCGAGTAGAACGTAGCCAGAGTGGGGAGAACTGTGTTACAAAAGAGGGAAGAGCATATATCGAGGCCCCAAGGTAGAGAGGAGCTTGGTCGGCTTGTGGAACTGAAAGACCACCGAGGCTGGAGCACAGCAAGGGAGAAGGGTGCCAGGAGCCCAGACAGAGCTTTGTGGGCCATGATAGGGACTATACTGGATTTTACTCTGCATGCCATGGGTGGCCAGCTGAAGAGTTTTAAGAATGAAGTGTGCTCAGCAGATCTTCATTTTTAAAAGATCATTCTGATTGCCTAGAAGTGATAGTATGAAAGCGGAACTGGAGAATTTCTCCACATCCTGGTAAGTTAAAGCCCCACACAAACCAGGTGAAAGGTGGTCATTGAATTAGAAAAGTGGCAGCGGAGAGGGTGAAAAGTAGACAGAGTCAATATGTATCTTGGAGTAGAATCAACATGACTTGGCAATAGGTAAACATGGAAGCTAATTGATTGGGAAGTCCCAGGATTAACAATGAGGCTTTTGAAATGGTAATCCCAGGGGCTGGCAGTGCCTTTATTGAGATAGAAGAAACAGAGGAGATTTGTGCAGGACAATGGAAAGAAGTTTGGACATTCAATTTTTCATTATTCTAAATTAATTTTTATATTACAAATTTATTGATATAATTCACATAAATTACAAATCTATAATTTATAAAGTGTACAATTCAATGGTTTTCAGTATATTCACAGAGTTGTACAATCATCACAATTTTACCAGTCACTTCCTATTTCTCCCCAATTCTCCCAGCCCTAGGCAACCACTAATCAACATCGTCTCTATTGACTTGCCTATTCTGGACACTTCATATACATTGAATCACACAATATGTGGTCTTTTGTGATTGGTTTCTTTCACTTTTTCAAGATTCATCCATTTTGTAGCATGTATCAATGTCACTTTTTTATGGCTGAGTATTTCCTTTTATGGATTTACCAGATTTTATCAGTACATTGATGGATGAACATTTGGTTTGTTTCTAATTTTTGGCTATTATGAAGAATCAAAATGTTGTTTTGAACATTCAGGTACAAGTTTTTGTATGGTTGTGTTTTCATTTGTCTTGAATACGGACCTAGAATTGCAAATGCCATATCATGTTGTAGCTCTATGTTTAACCTTTTGATGAACTGCCTGAATGTTTTCCTAAGAGGTTGCGTCATTTTAAATTGCAAACAGCAGTGTACGAGGGTTTCAACTGAGCCACATCTTCTCTGATGCTTTTTTTTTTTATTAGTGGATGTGAAGTACAATCTCAGTATTTTGATTTACATTTCCCTGGTGGCTGTAATCATGAGCATCTTTTTTTGTAATATTGGCCATTTGTATATCTTCTTTGAAGAAATATATCAGATCTATTGCCCATTTTTAATTGGGTTATTTGTTTTGTTATTAATACTTTCGGTGTCATATCTAAGAACATTTTGCCCAAGGTCACACAGATTTACTCTTACATTTTCTTCTATGAATTTTATAGTTTTAGCTTAGCACTTACATTTAGGTCTGTGATCTGTTTCGATTAATTTTTGTACATGGTGTGAGGTAGGGGCCCGATTTCATTCTTTTACATTTGGCTACCCAGTTGTTCCAGGACTATTTGGTGAAAGGTCTATTCCTTCCCTCATCGAATTTTCTGGGCACATGTGATGAAATCAATGTAAATAATTTCCAGATTCGCAATCCTATCCCACTGATCTACATATGTGTCTACTCTTATGCCAGTGCCACTACATGAATACTGTAGCTTTGTAACAAGTTCTGAAATTGCGAGTGTGAGCCCTCCAACTTTGTTCCTCTTTTCAACATTGTTTTGGCTACTCTGGTGTAAGGAAATATCACACTCTTCTTCTGTGTCTCCTCTACTCTCAATACTTCACTACAATACTACTTTGCTTCTGACACGATATGTAGGTTTTCCAGACATCAAGTAATTTAGCAGCATTAGCTTGGTGTCCTACAATTTAACTCAATTCTGACCCTACCTACCTGAGGATAGCATCAGATCCCACAGGACAGGCCTCGCCCCACTTCCTATGCCCATTGCATGTCAAGTTATCTATGCTTCTGAATGACCAGCTATGAATCAGAGGTTCCCAAGATCACCTCCTTATATTTAATTAATATGCTAAAGCACCTTACACAGAGAAACATTTCCTTAGGTTTGAACTGTTATTATAAATGGTATTATAAAGAGTACAGATGAACAGCCTAATGAAGAGATACATAGGACAAGGTCTAGAAGGGTTTCAGGTACGAGAGCTTCTGTCCCCATGGATTCGGGGTGTGCTACCCTCCCAGCATATAAATGCATTGGCCTACCCAGAAACTCATCAAATCTTGTTCTAGAGTTTTGCTACAGCTTAATCCCCCGACCTCTCTCCTTTGCCTTCCCAGAAGTCATTGGGTGGGGCCGAAAGTTCCAATATTCTAATCATTTGGTCTTTCTTTTGACCAGTCTCATCCTGAGGATATCTAGAGGACTCACCATAAATTACCGTATGTTGCTGTGTATAACGTACAGCCACGTTTTTGCACTCATTATACATGGGATTATTATGCCCATTATTACACCCATGGTATGTAATTATTATACCCATGTATAACGTGCATCCTTATTTTTCCCTAAAAAATTTGGGTAAAAAAGTGTGTAATATACATGACAAAATATGGTGCTTTATTAGCAAAAATGCAGGTGTGCTCAAAAGGATCCTTATGAACGACAAAAAACACTATCACTCAGAAAATTCCAAAAGTTTTAGAAACTTTTTTAATTTTTACTGAGTTTACTGGGGTGACACTAGTGAATAAAATTATATAGGTTTCAAGTGTGCAATTCTGTAATACATCATTTGCAAATTATATTGTATGTTCACCACCCAAAATCAAGTCTCCTTCCACCACCATTTATCCCCCCCCTTTACCCTCTTCAACCCTCCCCACCACCCTTTCCCTCTCTTTCTCACCATACCGTGTCTGTGTCTATGAGGGTATTTTTGCTTAATCCCCTCACCTTTTTCACCCAGCCCCCAACCCCCAACCCCCACCCCTCTGACAGCTGTCAGTCTGTTTTTTGTGTCTATGAGTCTGTTTCTATTTTGTTTATTTTGTTCATTAGATTCCACATGTAAGTGAAATCATATGGTATTTGCCTTTCTCTGCCTGGCTTATTTCACTTACCATACTAAATCTCCAGGTCCATCCATGTTGTCGCAAAATGTAAGACTTCCTAGTTAAAAAGACATCCTGCCAGCCAGATTTCCCTGTCCACTCTCTTTCATGGCTAAACAAGCACAGCTCTTCGGATTTCCCCTCTATGCACCCTCCAAATACCTCATCCACCTCCTACTGGCCAGGTTAATACAATTATTATGGTTATGGTGATTTTTAATGATTAAGCTAAAGTTTCATATGCCAAGAGAAGTCCTGCTTTCTTTAGACACAGCCAGTCGTTCAATATCCATTTATTCAATGCCCACGACGTTTAACACAGGGCTAAACACCGAGTAAACAGTGATGAAAACGAGCTTTCATTTCAGTCCTGGAGAGATATTAATACAATTTAAACATGTAACTTAAAACTGCAGTATGGGAGAAAAGGTGAGGACGTGAGAGATTCAAAGGCAAGACTGAGCAACCAGATCACTACATGACACCCAAACGGAATAAATAAACAGTTAACGCCTTCCTGGCTATTTTAAACAATTCCGTGGTACCTCTAGCCCAGCCCAGGCATTTCGGCTGTATTTATATTCAACTAATGTTTCCTGAGCACTGACAGGCAAATTTGGGAGGGTGGAAGCTATGGACAAGGTGAGCATACCAAATGCAAAAGCTTTCTTTTTGTTGTTGTTTTTGTTTTGCTGCTATTGTTAGATCTAACTACAAACCTGTGTATGTAGGGGGTAGGGGAGATACAGAATAAAACCACTGTCTCAAACGCCGTTTCCAGATAAGTCAGCAGATACCACCATCGCTCTTGGTAGAAATTGGAATTAAATGTCATGGCCTGTAAATCAAAAGACAAAATCAACTTAACCATTCTTCCGAATTTTAGCAACCGAGCATATTGCTAGCAGTCAGCCTGAACAGGTCAGGGAGGCCTAGCCAGCAATTTTCGCTGAGGCTGTCAAGCTCTAACATGCAAATCACTAAAAACCTCACGTTGGTCAAGTAACCGGGGTTTCGTGGGGAAGGAGGCACAGGGCGCCCGGTGAGAGAACAATGGCTGCGTGGCCCTGTTAAAGGTCGCCCGGCCTGTCGGGCGACTGAGAGAGGGGAGGCAGTGTGTGCGGGTGGCAGGCTCCCCAGGCCGTGACCCACGTCGCCCTGGCGCTTCTGTACGGGCCTCTGTACGGGCCCCTCCCCGGGCCGCCGCACGTGAGCCGCGTGAGAAGGGACTCAGGGACTGAAGACTGGCCGCCGCCAGAGTAAGTGAGCGAGCGACTTGTGAAACACGCTGCGGGACATCACCCGCCAGGACCGAGATCACGCGGATCCTAGGGCCCACTGAAAAGGCCCAGCTAGAGCACGGTGGGGGGAACGGAGGGAGGGGGCGCCCTGACACACGACAACGTACCCTCCGGTTCCCAGCTTGCAGGGTCTGCTGTCCTGGCCAGGCCCCGCCCCCTCGCGCTTATGTAATAGGGAAGTGCTGCCATTGGCCGGTGCCACCGGAAAAGGCGCAGGCGTGCGAGCGGGGCGGGGGCGGGGAGGAGCCAGCAGCAGGAAGGCAAGTGGGTGAGTGGGCGGGGGCTACAAGGAGCGGGCGGGCACTGGGGCTTTTGGGAGAGCCGCGCGGCGTGCGCGGGCACGAGGCTTAGTGGCCTTCCCCAAGACTGAGGCGGCGGCGGCGGGTGCGCGCGTGGCGGCGGGTGCGAGGCGCAAGCTGTTGTGCTCCAGGCTTTCCTCTTTCCCCTCCTAGGCGGGTGGAGGAGGCCGAAGCGGTGTTGGGCGCACTCCCCTTTCCTCTCCCTCCGGCCACTTCCTCCGGCCCCTTCGTGCTGCGCGGTCTCTCCGACGCAAGACTGTCCCGGCCCGAGTGAGTGGCTGTGGGGGCGGCGCTGACGCCCGCAGGACGCTGGGGAACCAGGGTGGGCGCTCGCTGGCGGGGTCGGCGGGAACCGTGGGAGGTCGCTGCGGGTCGCGAGGGGCCTCTGGCCTACCCCGCCTCCCCGGGGGCCGCCAGGCTAGTCCTGCCCCGGCGCGGGCCGCGGGAAGGAGGGAAAGCTCGGGCGCCTGCCAGGCCCTGCAGGTGGCCCGGTCGCAGGCCGGCAGCGGGAGCTGAGCGGTAACCTTACCCGCTGGCGACAGCAGCCGGTCGTTTTCTCGACGCCGGGGCTCCCTGTTGCCGAAGGTGCCGGGTTCCGGGCAGCCAAGGCCTCAAGGAGGCGCGTCTCGGGCCGGGGTCGGTGAGGAGTGGAGGGTAGGTGGGGGCTGTGTGACCCTTAGTGGCCGGAAAGAAGAGACGGCTCCCCGAGACGAAAGAGGCCGATTTGGGAAGGAGGGTGGGTTAGCCGGCAGCTGAGGTCAGTGAAGCGTTGGGTGAAATAGACGTTAGTCCTGGTGCTTTCATCTTCTCCCCTTCCCAAAATGATGTAGTTAAAATCTAGGGTCTGATGTTGATCACTGCACGGGCCTTTTCATCATTTCAGTGGTTATGGAAAATGGTCCTACTTCCTGGATCCAAAATTTTCTCTTACTCATTCCGGTTTTGGTTTTAATAGAATCTTTGGGACAGTGCTTACTTGTTGCCTGCTCTGCAGAGCTCCTAATTTTAAAAACTCGTTACCCTTTTTACTACTTCCCTCTTTGCAGCCCTTTCAGAAAACCATACTGTAATATTAAAAAAACAGCTTTTAGGTATTTGTAAATGACTTCTTGCACCTCAGCTTGTCGCATTTAATCAAGGAGCAGTTATGCTTAAGATTTTGTAGAAAATTCGATTGGCTGAGAGCAAGCCCTAAACTGAACTGACCAAAAGCAGGTGGTTTGTTGGTTTGCATTTCTGCTTTCAGAAAGGAAATCAACGCAGTTATTTGTTAGACGTTAGGGGCCTACCCCACAAATATAGACTGATTCTATTTCCTTTACCTGGCATTAAGTTTTCTGTTTTAAAAATAGGAAAAAGCGACCAGTCTCTTACAAAGCCCATATGGCCTTTTTTTGTTAGTTTTTAGATACAGTGGAAAATAGGTTAAATCTAGTGTGTGATGATATATTTTAGGGAAAATCTTAAATACAAAGGTTAAAAAAATAATGTGTATCTAATGACACTACTTATCAAAAAGCTAATAGTCTCTAGATATCTTAAGAAAATTCTGTATTAATGGCTTGCAGTTTTTTAGGAGTTTTTTCCAACGTAAAGCAATTAAGAGGTTACCCATACAATCAGTGTTATTAACATACATAACATGCATTGCATGGAAGAGTTCGGAAGCATGAGAGGACTTAAGTATACTAACATAAGGTACTAAGATATTGAGACATTACAAACATTTTAGTACATAAAGATTAAATACCTGTCTACAGTACTATCATCTGAATAATATGCAAATATCCCAAGTCTGTTTCCATAGGAATAGGTTTGTATGCTTGCTGTAACATTTGGACTTAAATGTATTTCAAAAAAGTTATTCCATTTGGCTTCGAATTTCGTTTTTAAAGAAATGGAAGTTTAATCCTTAAGGACTAACACATCTGGTAATATTTACCATTATTTGGTGGGAATAGGGTTCTTATGTTAGACTTGCATACTAAACATTTTTGTAATTTGTTAAAATATCCCGCCGGCTCTCTAGAAAAGCAATGATCATCCTCTATATTTTATTTGACTTTCAGTTCAGTATTTAATGCTAGAGAGAACTTGTCCCTTTGGTGTTTTTGTTCAGTTTCCCTTTTTCTTTTTGGAAGAAGCTCAGGTGTTTCTATGCAATGCTTTCACCTCATATCCATTAATTAGTTCAGGTTCCAGTCAGAAAAGAGAAGTCAGTGCTCCTTTCTGGTGATGTTGAGGTAGATCCATTGTATGTTTATGTCCTGCAGTGATTTAAAGGTTTAAAATTTACAGTCCATCAGTAGTGGAAAATGATATCTTTCATTTTTATATAAGTACCCTTACCCTTTTAACAAGGCTTATTCTCTCAACTGGGAACTAATTTTATTTTATTTAATAAAGTGTCCAGCAAAAGGCAAAGTTTTAAGAAAGATGTAGAATAGCACAGTAGTTTTATGAAACCTTAATATTTAGAAAACAGTTCCCATTGTTCCTATGATCTTTCTTAGAGGCATTAGATGACAGCTCTTATTTCTCTTCAAGTTGTGTCAAGTCACAACAGTGAATAGTGCAAGGGGAAAGTACCTTTGCAAAGTGGTTGGGCAAGGAGGCTAAACTTTTTTTGGTAAACTCTTGAAGATTACATATAGTAAAGTGCAGAAATCTTAGGTGGATAGCTCAGTGATTTTTACAAGTGTACACACCTGTATAACCATTACTCAGATACAGATATAAAACATTATCAGCACCCCAAAAACCCTCCTCGTGCCCTTTCTTCCTAACCACTACCTTCTAGATTAGCTTTGCCTGTTTTGAGCTTCATATAACATACATTCTTTATTGGGCATCTTTCCTTAAATATTAAAATATAGTTAGGTGACATAATTCCTTTTTGAATGCTGCATAGTATTTCATTGTATAAATATAGAAGTTACTCATCCATTTTACTGTTAATAGACATTTGGATTATTTCCAGCTTCGGAAACAGGTGCCCGGAACATTCTTGTGCTCTGTCTTTTAGTGTACATCAGTGGCTTTCAACCTTTTCCATCTCATGGCACATGTAAAATTCTGCAGCATACCAAAAACATATTTTTGCTGATCTGACAGAAAAAAATTGGTGTAATTTTGATTCATTCATACTGGATGGCCATTGTTGTGTTGGCTGTTGTCATTTTTTTATTTGACATTCTAAGGGAAAAGAGGTCAGTGCCCCTGACTAAATAGTCAGGTGTTTGCATGCTTTAAAAATTCTTAGGGCACACCAGTTGAAAATCGCTGGTGTGCATACATTTGCCTTTTTATTGGTTACGTACCAATGTGGAATTTTTAGGTTATAGAGTAAACAACTACGGTTTTCTACAATGGTTGTACCAATTTATTCTCTAGTAGCATTGTATGTGAGAATTTGAAAACCCATACATTTTGATTAACAACTGTTTCTATGAAACTTAAGCTGTCAACTCTGAGATTATTAATCATGTTTAGATTACTTTGTATTAAAGGAAATAAATTACTCTGATGCCGCAACTTTTGTTTTTAGATATGGCTCGTGGACAGCAGAAGATTCAGTCTCAGCAGAAAAATGCCAAAAAGCAAGCTGGACAAAAGAAGAAACAAGGGCATGACCAAAAGGCTGCTGCCAAAGCTGCCTTAATATATACCTGCACTGTCTGTAGGGTAAGGGAGATTGAAAGACATAGCTTTCTCATGGGCAGTTCTTTCATTAAAGATTCGTTTGGATAGGTTAAAATTTTGCAGTCATGTCAAAATAATTGCTTACTTAAAGTAGTAGATTTGGGAGCTGGTTACTTTACAAATCCATCTTTCTTCATTCAACAAATATTTTATTGAAAGGCTCCTGTAGCCAGGCAGTTTTCCAGGTGCTGGAAAGGAGTGAACAAAGCAAAGTCCCTTTCCTCGGGGAGAATAAAGATGCCTTCTTAAGGGAAAACAATACACTTCAAACTTTGTAAAGAAGTCAGATCTACATTCTTAGTTTTAAACTACATAAGATACCAGTGAATAAAACTCATTATACAATTGGTTTTTTTTTTTTTCTTTCTTTCACTAAGTCCATTGTTAGGATATATATAGGATATATAGCTGTAAAACTATATAGAGTTTGTTTACATGTGTTTTATTGGAGCTGAAGAAGAATCATAGAAGCTGCTATTGAGTGCTTACAGTGTGCGTAGGCACTAATCCAGGTGTTTTACATGTTTGAGCCCATTAATCCACACAACAACCCAATGAGAAAAAGTACTTTTATTATGGTCATTTTACAAAAGTACAAATTGAGTCATGGGAATTAAATAATTTGCACAGGGTCACCCAGCTAGTACATAGAAAAGCTTGGATCTAAACCCAGGTAGTCCAGCTCTAAGAGTCCACTCTCTGGACAAAAGTTTTTCAGGCTAGAGTCTCTTGCCTGTTTGTTTAAGTTCACCACTCTTGAAAGCAGTGTATAGAAGTTCCAAAGGAAATATACATAGTGAAGTTAGTCAATACATATATACATACATATAGATAAAATATTTTTTCAAAGCCTTATACCTAGGTAGAACTAGTGGTATGCATGGGAAAGGATCTTGATAACACATGATTCCTGGATTATGTGTTGAAGTCATTACTAATGAAATAAAAGTTCCTAACTATATAAAAGGATCTGTTACATTAAATATCTTGTTCATATTGAGCTTCAATACACTCAAAATAATGAAATTGAGCAGCTTCAGATTCTATTTGGAGAGAGGCAGGGTAAAAGTAAAATTCACTAGATTGATAAATACTTTGACTTAAAAGTACTAGAGTAGTTCACATATTCAAAAAAGAACAAAAAACATTTTTTGTCTGAGTATTCTAAAGAACATAATTGAAGGTCCTTGCCTAGGGAAGTTGATATAGTGTAGTACAGTATTTGAGAATTATAGTACCTACTACTAGGCTGAAGCATAGGTTTTGAGCAAATTAATCTTTAGAGTTTCGTTTCCTTATGTAAAATGAGGATAGTAGGAACTAATTTAAGTACTATGAAGATTCAGTGAGAATTCTGGTAACATGTTTAACATAATAGTTCGATACAAGCTATCTGTTTGCTGTTAGACAAGCAGAATACTTCATTCTTTGTGATCCATCCCTCTATGAAATCTGAGAATATGTTAGGCATTTCTTTATTACATGGTGATTTTTTAATAAGATCTAACTCCTTTTTTGTACAATTTTTGTAATTAGACACAAATGCCAGACCCTAAGACCTTCAAGCAGCACTTTGAGAGCAAGCATCCGAAGACTCCACTTCCTCCAGAATTGGCTGATGTTCAGGCATAAAGTTGTTTACAGGTAATTAACTGTTTTTCCTTTTGTTAATGTCAGGGTTACATGCAAGAACCAAATTGTCTTCCATAATTGTGAAATTGATTTTTACTGTCTAGCTGAGACTTCATTGCTTTCCTTTTTAAAGTTAATGTTTAACTTTGCAATTGTTAAAAGTCCATTTTCTCAGACCATATCCTGATGAAATAGAAGTTCCTAACTACATAAAAGTTCTACTTACTACTGTAGCCAGAAATGGGGGGATGAAGGGATGCTAGTCAACTCTGGTCCAAGAATGGAAGAGACTTGTCAGCTTAAAGAAAATAACTGTTTCCAAGGGATTGAAGGTCTTGCTCAGAAATGAAGCAGACCAATGTTCATGAGTGCCTTTTGTGCAGGTATTTTATTTAACAGTATTTTATTGAAAATAATCAGCCTAGATTTTCTTTGTGGTTGGGTTTTTTTCCCCCCACTCCCAAATGTTTGTGATGGTGGTAGTGCTGTGAGAATTTTGTAAATAAATTAATCGAAGTTTTGTTTATAAAACCCCATTGACAGATCTATCAGGTTAACTTAATAGCTTATGTTGTGGGGGTTTTTCTTAGACATATGAAATATATGTAAGTTGCATTTGTACAATGCTTACCTTCACAGAAAATTTTGCTTATGTTTTATAGGTGAATTCATGACACCTTTGACTCTTCTACTGTCTCAGACCTTAGGTAACAAACCTGCAGCTGCTTTTCTAACAAACTGTTGATCAGCAAAAATAAAGGGGCTACAGAAACACTCATTTTTATGCTGTTCCCTTTGGGCTTCATGCAAAGACAATTCTGTGTAAATGTACAGTTGACTCTAATTTGGAAATATGAAAATCAGTCCATCCTTGTTATAAAAAATTTTTTACAATTGTAATTATATTGATGTTCATATTGTGTAAAATAACTCATTTAATAAAGTAGTACTTTGATTTTACAACATCACAGGATAAATGGTTCTAGAAATTCTGTTCTAACTTTTCACATTATTTGCCTTATAAAAATGTAATGAATTCATCAGCTGGAATTGCAAGCGCAATTCTTATCTCCTCCTCAGCTCAGTGGCAGGTTCGTTAATTAAACTAGAGCAGACTCATTCATTAAATTTGTGTACACAATTTTATTGGCAGCTGCCTAGGTGAGGAATGACTTACCTGCTTCCTTAGTATATTGCAGTCATATGTCATTTTCCCCTCTGAATGTTTCATGTGTTTGAGGTTGGAATATTTCAACTTGCTGTATAACTTGGCTATATATGCCAGCTAGGTATACCCTGTATATAAGTGATACATTCCTAAAGCGGTTGGATTCATTAGTGAGCCCTTCTGAAAAACTACGTTCTGAAATATATGTTATAATGAAATAATCAGCAACCCTAATCATTTATTACAAAATATGATGGAACGTATGTGAACTAGTAAAGATCTCTCTTTCATAAATTATACTGGATTCTTTGAACATTCTTCAAGTTCTTTATTTGATATTGAAACTCATAATTTTGAAGTTTTTGGAAGGTATTAACTATTTGACCAATGGATTTTGCATTAACAGGAAGATTGGAATGACTTGTGGCTGGGTTAATTCCCAGGACCTTCTCTCTCCTTTCTTTTTGAGTCGTTGATTTTAGGAGTTTACTTTGTGCTGGTTCCTAAAATCAAAGACTGTGTATAATATGACTTCCGTCTGAACTAGAAGAGTATTAAAATAGGCCAGGATCCACATCTATTTAGTTCCAAGAATGAGGAAGTGGGTTGATTCAGATGGATGAGGTCAATCCTGCCCAGTTAAAGGGAGGCTAATTTTAGGGTTCCTCTAATTTGCTTTGGTTAGCTATTAACTTCACTGAGTTAGCAGTAACTCAGTTTAAATTTTAAAGTTAATATAATAGAAAGAACATTCAGTTATTTACTGGTAATTGCTTAGAGCCACAAATCTGATCCTGTGGATTTAAAAAATGCTTTCCCACTTTCTGCTGTAACTCATCACTGCATTTGTTTTTTAGCTGTGCATATTTTGCCCACCTTGTTTGTCTTCATTGTAAGTTTAACATAAGATATTTCTAAGGAAAATCTTCACTGGTGATAATTTCTTAGCAATTACTATTCTGATACTATTACTTTAAAATAATGATTTTTTTCATGTATTTAATTTCCTAAGTGTCAGATTTAATGTTATTTCCTTATATGTTGATTACCAGAATATTAGAATTTGCCTAATTGCTTGTGGTGGGTATTAACAGAAGCCCTGGTTAAATTACAGTTTAAAGGTTTTTTTAAAGTGCTATGAGCATATTATGTTTAGTAAGAAGTCACTTAAAAACCACTCACAAGTTTTGGTTTAATTTTTTTTCATTTGTTTTACTGACTCTAATTGAGAGTAAAAGCTTTTCGTTCTTATATTTAACCCTTTTTTATAAGCAACTGAAAACATCATATTTAACTGTTTTGGTTTAATTTTTTTTCATTTGTTTTACTGACTCTAATTGAGAGTAAAAGCTTTTCGTTCTTATATTTAACCCTTTTTTATAAGCAACTGAAAACATCATATTTAACTATCTCAGTGATGGGGAATAGCTGCACTGATCTCGCACAGGACATAATTCTCATCCTCTGCATGAGGATTATTAGTACAATCCCTTTTTTATTGTGTTTGAGCTAAATCTGCTATAAGGGAAAAATTAAAATTCTTAAACATCCTCATTATTTAATTTGAAGATTCTTTAACAGATCATAGCAAAGTTCATTACGAACCTGTTATGGCGTCTTCAAAGACTTGATAAAATACACTGAGAGAGAATCGGTCCATTTGTATTCTGTATTTCTAGTAGTTGCCAAAAGGAATGGGGTTAAATTAAACTTGTTTCCATTATCCTTCATATGGATCTACATCCCCTTGTTTAACTGACTCACAGGGCTCAGTTGTGTGCTGTAATGTTTTATTAAAGAAGATATTAAAGAAAACTAAACTAGTCTAATTTCTTCTGCATTTTAGGAGCTTTTATATTGCCTCTTCCCATTTTTTTTTCATTCCCAACTTAGAAGTATCTCTTGAATAGTCCTGAGGCTGAGAAGATTTCTTTCTTTCTCATTGTTTTTCCTGTAGTCTATTTTGGATCTATAGAATATTCTTAGAAATGAAAGGAAGCATGTTGTCGTTCTGAAACCTCGCTCTGTAGAATGTGTACTAAGTTGTTGGAAGGAGGAAGTAATTGCCTGTTAATATAAAGTAATACTATAAACATCCTTAGGGGTCTGTTGGTTGAGTTGGATGAATACGTCCTTACAACATTGACTCAGATTTCAGATAACACTTTCGGTTTTATATTTAAAATACTGTAGTAGCTAATTAGTTACATCATAATTCAGTTCTGAGATGTATATCAGTTAAGTAAGGTAGAATTTACCAACATTATTTAAAATAGTCTGAAGTCGTTTGTGGTAGATTTTCATTTTTGTAGCGGTTTTGGGTTTGGTTTGTTTTAGTTTTAATCAGAGATACATAATTTTTGGAATGTATAGCAGTGAAGATCAACACTAGGGGGTTGTGTTCACTGTGACTTTATCTTCTGAAATCTTCCAGGCTAGCCTAATTTTGTCTATTGTAAAATTTCAGAAAAACCTTAGGAACTTCCCATATGTAGATTTACTGAAACATCTATCAACTGAGAAAATAGACATTTTTATTAATAAAAGTTTATCCTGTCATTCATTGTGGATTACCATATTAAACCAGAAATTAAATGTCTTTTATTTTAAATGTCCTTTGGATAAGCTGTTTACTATCTTTGGGGAATGGGTTTTGTTTTTGAGCAGCCGTTCATTAGCTCCAATTTTTGCTCATAGAATTGCTCCAAATTTAAAGTCTGTACATGTAGACACAGCCTTAAATCATTTACTTATGTCCATATGGGCGTCTCTGCAGTTGTGAAGTAATTATGTTAAAATCATAGTACTTTTTAACCATTTTTTATGCATACAGCATCTTTTTCTAAACATACTAATAATGGCTTAGGTTTTTATAGACCAAATAAGTATCTCACTATCGCTGTTTACTGTCTTGTAAAACTCTGAAAGTGCCTTGTATTTTGGATTCTTATTAAAGTTTTAATTACTAGGAAGTAGGCCATCATAATATTTCCTCTATAACAATGTACCGGTGCGTCTCAGAATGAGGTCTTTTTTTACCAGGAGTGTAGAACCTCCCAATTCACTTTGAGCGGCACAGCTACGGCCCCAGAAGTGACCAGATCCACTTGCTGTCAGGACCTCTGTTTAAACTGCGGCTATGACAAACAGCAGCTCTCGGGTTTAGGTGCTTGTCAAAGTGAGGCCTTAAAGCTAGGGTGACCATACATCCTGGTTTGCCGAAGACAGTCTTGGTTTAAATATTTAATATGTAATGGTAAATACTAAGTTAATATTAGATATTAAGGTGTCTCATAAATCTTAATATTACCTACTTTTACTCAGACATTTCAGTCCACAAGTATGTCAGACAACTGCTTTTTTTCTTTAACTCAAACACTTAAAAAATTATTTTTTTCTTTTACTGATTCTAGAAAGAGGGGAAGGGAGGGAGAAAGAGGGAAAGAAACATCGATGTGAGAGAGAAACATCCATCGGTTGCCTCTTGCACATGCCCCAACTGGGGGAATGAACCAGCAACCCAGGCCTGTCCTCTGACCGGGAATCAAACCAGGAACTCCTTTTGGTTTGCAGGATGATGCCCAGCCAACAGAGCCACACCAGCCAGGGTAAACAACTGCTTTTTTAAAATGTAGATTTAAAAAAAAAATCATAGTCATTAAAGGGGAGCATGTGATTCTGGCAAGGTTTATCTTAAAGTCCTTGAATCTATCTATATTTCTTATTTTAAAAGTCCTATGGACACTTAAATATCTGGTAAAATGAACTAGATTCTAAAATTTTGAAGTAACTATTCGCACGCATTCATATAAACTTTATATTCTTTGTACCAAGTCGTTTAGACTTCTGTTTCCTGATCATTTTTTCACACAAAGGACTTAATGGAAAAAAGGCCAGTTGGGGATTAGAGCTACTGCTTGTCAGTATAGAACACTTAGTGAGGAAAAGAGGAAAATCAGCATTGGCTGCAAGTTAGGTGTCTGCTGGGCTAATAATACTGAAAAGTTATGGCAAATCTTTTGATTTTGGTACTGGATGCTTCTCCATATTTTACCTGGATTTCTGAAAGTTCCTTTTTTAAAATTCTTAATTCTGGAATACTGTTAGACCTACAGAGAAGTTGTAATGGTAGTCCAAGAGTGTTCTTGTGTACCCTCACCCAATTTCCATTTACCCCTAATGTTGTTTTTCTTTAAATAATTTTTTTTCAGTTGTAGTTTAGGTACAATATTAGTTTCAGGCGTAAAACCCACCCCTGGTAGTTCTAATCATCTGTAAGTGTTGTATGCTTGTCAAAAGTAAGAAACCAGCATTGATATGTTAACATTAACCCATCTGCCTATTAATGGCCCTTTTCTGTTCCGGGAAGCAGTCCAAAGTGCTACATGGCATTTAGCTGTTATTTCTTCTTGGACTCTTAATGTTCTATGATGGTTTCTCAGTCTTCCCCTTGTTTTTCATGACCTCGGCAGTTTTGAGGTATTTGGAGGTATGTTGTAGAACATCCCTCAGTTTGGATTTGTGTAATGATCTCATGATTACTTTAGGGTAACAGGTTTTTAGAAGGAAGACCACAGAGGCGAATGCCCTTCTCATCACTTTGTAGGTGAATGATTCCCACCTGACATCACTTGGTTAAGGTGCTATCTTCCAGGTTTCTCCACTGGAAAGTTACTGTTTTCATATGCTATTCTTTCAAAGTAAGTCCATACCTGTACTCAAGGGGAGTGGGGATTTAACGCCACCTTTCAGGGGGCGGGGGGAGTGAGCGTATGTGTGTACACAAATAGATACATATATGTATATATATGATATTTGGATTTCATCTCTAAGGAAGATTTGTTTCTTCTCCCCATTCAGTTATTTGCTTATAGTCACATGAACTCATAATCTAATACTACATTTTGTTTTTTTATTCAAATCATTTCAGCTTTGGCCATTGGGTACTTTTTCAGATTGGCTCCTGTATGCTTTTGACATGCCCCATCCTTTTTTGAGTATTTCCTTACTTTAGTACTACAAGAAGCTCCAGGTTCATCTTGTATTTTCTGTGCCTAGTCCTAGATTGAACCATTTCTCCAAAGAGCCCTGATGCCTTTTATTGGAGAATCATATTTAGAAACAAGATCTAGGTACTGAGTATGAGGAAATGGGTTTTGTGGGGGGTTTTTTTATTATGAAATGTTGAACTTTTCCCCACCATTAACTAAAATTATTTGAGGGTAGTAGGAAGAAGAGTATCTTTATCCCAGATTTTTAGAAGATGAGCTTTTTGATGTTTTTGCACATCATTACTGAAGCATTCTTTTAAGTCACCAACATATTTATTGAGAATACTATATATGAAGGTGCTTTATAAGCTGTAAAGCGTTATATAAAAGCAATTTATTATTATAAAAGAAATATAAGATCCCTTTAGAAATGAAAATGCAAATATGAAAATGAAAATAAGAAAAAATTCTTATTTTAAAAGTCCTATGGACACTTAAATATCTGGTAAAATGAACTAGATTCTAAAATTTTGAAGTAACTCTATTCGCAGGCATTCATATAAACTTTATATTCTTTGTACCAATTCGTTTAGACTTCTGTTTCCTGATCATTTTTTCACACAAAGGACTTAATGGAAAAAAGGCCAGTTGTGGGGTTTTTTTTTTTTATTATGAAATGTTGAACTTTTCCTCACCATTAACTAAAATTATTTGAGAGTTGTAGGAAGAAGAGTATCTTTATCCCAGATTTTTAGAAGATGAGCTTTTTGATGTTTTTGCACATCATTACTGAAGCATTCTTTTAAGTCACCAACATTTGGGGAGATAATGCATATATTTATTTACATAATTTTAAGCTATATGGTTAAGTGCTGCTGTGTTTTATAGACAATAACTTCTACAGGAATACGTAAGAGGGAGAGGACCTATGGGTTGGAGAGGTTCATCTGTGCATGAAAGGATGGGGAATCAGCTCGGGGAGGCGTAGGAGTGAATAGGGAATCAAAATGAGGGTGGCTGAGTGAGCAAAAGTTCGGTCAAGTACATAACTTTCTTTGAGAGAAAGTGAGTAGGCCAGCCAGAGCATAGGCTTGTGAATAAGAGCCTTTGAGCTTATGGATGAGAGTGGGGAGCGATCATTAGAATGGGACCAGATTGTGCAATGTGTGTGCACTGCAATAAATAGTTCAAATTACTCCCGACACTAGGGGGACCCTTTGAAGGTTTGGGGGCAGGGGAGTGACATGATGTCAGGAAGACAAATATTTACCAGTGAAATGTTCTGTTATTACTGTTGTTGGTTTTTTTGTTTTCGTTTTTGTTTTTACAAACTCTTGTACTTTCCTTGTTTCTTTAACAAAGTATGCTGTCTGTTACTTAACTTCTGATTATTTGAGGTCATTGTGAGTGCAGATTTACAGGCAGTAATTTTGCTCTGCTGTGATGCAGTGATACAGCTCGTGCTCAAAGCTGTATTTAGAAATGTTTGCCTCTACAGTAAATGGCTCCAGACAACAGTGTGTCTCTACATGATATTTGTTTTCTTCTCTTTTATTATTAAAGTAATACATTTTCTTTATATAATATATAGAAATTTGGAGAATATAGTAAAGTTGAGTTTTAAAAACTTACCAGGGCAGATTTTCTTGATTACTCTCTTTTTCTCTCATGTGTATGTGCTTGATACACACCTGAGCTTGTGCATACATGCAAATACATATTTTAAATTAATGCACACTTTTGTTTTTATGTAGCCACTTTGACATAATATGTTTTAGTCCTTTGCCATTTCAGTTAATATACATAACAAATGGGGTTTTTCAAGTTACAGACTTTGTGTAGGTGAAGTTTTTTGGCTGTATGATGATCCATTGGGTGGATGTGCTGTAGTTTGGTTTTTTTAAAAAAAACAATTACCCCGTTTATAATTTGTGCAGAAGTCTATTTCGAGCATTTATAACTAAACATCATAAACTTTAATTCTCTTGCTAGGAGATTGGTGACGATATTTTGAAGAATGTGTACTATTTTTTTTAAAATAGAAGTAGCGGGCTGGATAGCTGAGGGGAGCAGGTTATTCTTGAGCAATGGTGTTTGAGTCTGGCCTTGCTCTAGTTTGAATACTAGTACTTTTCTCATGAATTTGTAGTTTAAACATGGTTTACTTCCTTGATTTCTAGTGATGTTTGGACATTTTGATTATATTTGCTAAACATTTATAATTCCTATTTTTGTGAATTGTCCATTGCCCATTTGTTTGTTTATGGTCTTCGAATTACATTCAATCTGTTTTTCATAGTAAACTAGTAAGTACTGAAGCCTGGAGAGCATATCAGCTAGGGTTGTGAAACTCATACTGATTTTATACAATACAAAATTGTAGGCTCTCGATGCACCAGTCACTTAAGTCTTAGCTATAGATAAACAAAGTATAAAATCACACTTTACATTTAAGTCATATCTTTATTCAAGAGTAATAAAATCTGCTTTTAATTTATTGATACCTGCCTATTATGAAGAAATAGGAAAAGTAATTTTTATTATAAGGCAGTTCAGCAAATTAAAATAACAAAATAACCTTTGGTGCTTCTAGATCTCCCTGATCAGCATTTTGTTAGGTTCTATTATTTCAAATTTACGTATATGGATTTTTATAGTAACAAAACAGACTATACTTAAGCCTTGCTTTGAATAGCCAGGAATATTTGATAGGAAGAGTTTCTGAAATAAGATAGGAGACTGTAAACATGAGAATTTAAAGCTGTAGTTGAATGACCCAGTGAGAAAAATGTCAGTTTGTAAGTTCAAATTTGGCTCTTCTTTTTCCTAACTGAGTGAACTTGGACAATTACCTTTCTGAGCTACAGTGTCTTCTGTCACCTTATTAAAATGCAGAAACTAATCCCTACCTCAAAGGATTATTCTGCCTTAAGGAGTAAATGACACAAGTATAAGTGACTGCCCAATCATTGGTGCTTATCCTTCCACTGAAATTTAATACATAGTGTGTGTCATATAGGCCCTTCTTATTTTTGCCCATTGCTGCTCGTGCTTTTTCTCACTGCGATTCTTTCTCTTCTTTCCATCTAACCACAGTCTCTTTATGTGAAAAAGCTACCCATTCTTCTGGGCTCAACTCAGATATGATTTTTTTTTCATGAAGTTCAGCACTTTATTATTTA